GTGAGAGAAGTCTTCCCTAGATTCTATAAATCAAAGATAAATCATCCCAATAATTTCAGATTCTGCAGCATTTTCTTTAGTCATTAAAAAACTGTGGGCCTCAAGTAATGATCCAGGAACCTCTCTTTCTAGCTTTAAAGGGAATAAAGTTTGAGTTCTCACTTTATTGCTCTTTGCATCATGCTTTCATGGAAACAGTACAAGAAATACTCCAGTCACATGGAAACTTATACCAGAGAGAGGCTTTTACCCTGAATCCTGCCTCCTTTCCTGTCCTTCCCTGCTGGGCTAAGCTGGGAAACCTAAAAGGATATCTGAAGATCCCTTTGTTCACTTTTCCTTAAGCCCAGAAGGAATTCTACACAATCAGAGACTTGTTTCTTTACTCCAGGTCCATCTGGTTTGCTCTACCTTCCCGGCCACCAAAAGGTCCCAGAACGTTTAGATTTCTAAGTATCTCCAAATAAGATAAGGAGGAGAATGGTAAATTGATTAACAGTGGGGCTTCACTCTACATCTGTAATACCTGTCTATTCTTTCTTCCTTCATCAATAAACAAAATGCTTATTCATGCACCAGACATCTTGATAGGCAAAGAAGGGTCAATGATAGCTAAGACATAGTCCTTGCCCCCAGGTGCCTTTTGTTTAGCCATGTAAACAAAAAGTACAGCAACATGTTACAAGCTTTGTGCTGGAGGGGTGGACAGTATTGGGAGTCACAAAGGAAAGAGTGGACAATTCCATTTGGGGGGTTCGGGTGAGACTCTGTTTGAGTACGCATTGGCAAGGGGAACAGAGATGAGGATGGGAAAACTAGCCATTTAGGTATAGAGATCACATGCCTGAACCCATCTGGTGTTTTCAGAAAAACTGCAGAGATGTTGGTGCCATTGCAGCATGAGTGAGAGGTGTGGCAGGGGAGGAGGCTGGGGAGGTAGGAAAGAGTCCCAACAAGGAGGGCTTTGTTGCATGATTAAAGAGTTTGGACTTCATCTTGCAAAGTGTACTAAGCCATTAAAGTGTCTTAATCAGGAGGATAGCAGGACCATATATGTGTTCTAGGAAAATCCGATGTTCATTCCTGTATGTTCTTGATGCCTGTCAGGGTCCCTCCCTGAGGAGGTGGTCTGATGGGGATAAGAAGCGGGGTCAACAGAGAAGAAACATGGTCTTGAGAACCATCTGGTCTAAAATTAGACTACAGTCATCTATTGTGCACTGCACTGAACCTCTTTTCATGCCAGATACGGTCTGGGGACCAGACATGTTTGGACATGGCTTGGGTGAGAAACCGGTTGTCTTTTCCAAAGACAATTTGGATTTCAGGAGGAAAATCACAGCATCAGAGTTCCAAGCAAAGGGGCATTACAGGCCAGTCAGAGGGCACAAAAATTACTGCTGCGAAATAACCATAATTAAGTCTTTCTGCCAGCATAACTGGGAAGGGAGTTGAGGCCATAGTTGCTGGGAGTAAAATTTGGAAGTGTTATCAAATACTATTACTGTTTGGAAATTAGAAAGAAAAGAATGAAGATAGAATTCATTTTTCTTTTGGGAACTAAGAGGTTCACTCAAGTTCTCTGGAGCTCTGAAATGAACAAAAAAGTGGAAAATAGGGAGCTGCATGTAATGGCACAGGAAAAGTGTCTCTCCACAAGCTTTGCTTTTCTTTCCAGAATCAGAAGGTGCCCAGTCAGAGTTGGCGCAGCTGACATGACATTTATAATGTGGCAGTGTCTGCCTAAACCATTTGACCTATATTAATTGTAACATGATAGTGAAGTAAAACTAAGAGGTACCTCCCTGGAGTCTTCAGAAGCAACCCCACCTGTTCCTCATTGTGCTGAGGTTCCCTGCAGGAATGGCAGTACCTGGTGCATTGGGAAACAGGAGACTTAAACAACACCTGGTTTCAAGTCCTAGCTCGACTACTTACTAGCTTGAAATTAAGCCTGCTTCTTCAACTATAAAGTGGAAATAATGGCACTTATCAACATGTTCATTACTAATTAGTTAATAAAAGTAAGGATTCTTTGTTAAGCGTTGCTCAGATGTTAATTAATAATAATATTGACTAGATATTGATAGTATCTCGAGCTAAACTGTTGAACAGAGTAGCCACAAACCACATGTAGCTATGTGAAATGTGGTGAGTCTGAATTGATATATGTTGCTAGAGTTGGCACCAAAAAAAAAAAAAAACCTCAATGATTTTTACATAACTTATATGTAAAATCATAATATTTTAGATATATAGTGTTACATGAAATATAATTAAAATTAATCTCTTATGTCTCTTTTTACTTATTTTAATGTAGCTACTAGAAAATTTAAAAGTATGACTGTGGCTTGCATTGGGGATTTGTGTTACATTTCCAATAGGCAGTATTGAACTAGGGTGTTTCCTGTCCATGAAACAAGTGATATGGAATGTGAGGATTCTGAGAACCATCTTTCAAAGTAAAGTCAGGATATATACGACATATTTATCTATCTCACGAATTCATCCACTTTTAAAATTCATTTCACTTACACGCTTTGAGCATCTACCTTATGCCAAGGACTGGATACAGCCTAGTTGTGCCCTTTGGGAGCTCACACTGTGAATATGAATGAGGCTGGGGAATTCCTATGCAGCCTACAGCATTCCACAGTCATCAGTTTGTTTTGTTCTCCTCTTACACTGTTGCTGGGAGTGTAAGTTGGTGCAGCCACTGTGGAAAACAGTATGAAGGTTCCTCAAAAAACTAAAGATAGAATTACTATCCAACCCAGCAATTCCACTCCTGGGTATATATACCAAAAAAACCCCAGAAATACTAAGTTGAAAAGATATATGCACCCCAATGTTCATAGCAGCACTATTTACAATTGCCAAGACATGGAAACAACCTAAGTGTCTATCAACAGATGAATGGATAAAGAAAATATGGTATATATATATATATATATATATATATATATATATATAATGGAATGCTACTCAGCCATAAAAAAGAACGAAATTTTGCCATTTGCAGCAACATGGATGGACTTGGAGGGCATTATGTTTAGTGAAATATGTCAGATAGAGACAAATACTGTATGGTGTCACTTATATGTGGAATCTAAAAAATACAACAAACTAGTGAATAAAACAAAAATAAGCAGACTCACAGATATAGAGAACTAGTTGTTACCAGTGGGGAGAGGGAATGGGGGAGGGGTGACATAGGAGTAGGGGAGTAAGAGGTACAAACTATTGGGTGTAAGACAGGCTTAAGGATGTATTGTACAACACGGGGATTATAGACAATATTTTGTAATAACAGTAAATGTAAAGTAACCTTTAAAAATTGTATAAAAATCAAAAAAAAAAGAATGTGTTTGGTTCTGACAGGGTAGCACCCCAATATATCCTCAAGGTAAGAGGACACAACGTGATGCTAGGAAATCTATCTTGGTCTGAATGTTCTTCTTGCTGCAGCCAGCGGCCTTTGAGTGTTTCAACGTTGCATATGGACCTGAGTGAAGGGTGGGCTTTCAGGAGGCACTGTTAGCTGAGTCTGTAAGGATACTGTGCTTGAGAGGCCAAGGTCATAGGTTTGTTCCCTATACGGGTCACTTCACTTTGCTCTGATCCATGCCTCAGACTTGCCCCTGCAAACCCCATCCAGCTGCCTTGTAAATATCTTTGAATCACTTGGGGGACAGGATGAGAGCACGTAAAGGGAGCAGGGCAAATCTCTCACCATGGCTGGAGCAACAGCTGAAAACATTCTTGACCAACAGTGAGGACTCTTGGGAGGAGGGCCCATGTAACTTAGTGTATCACTGCACAGTGGACCCAATTAAAACCATTTTTCCCCTTCACATCTCTACGTGAAATCATTGACCAGGGTGGAGCTAGTAGGACAAGGCTCCTGGAGATCACAGCTCCTGGACAGAGCAGAACACATGCAGCATTCACTGGGAATTCAGATTTTTTCCTAAAGATGATATTGCCAACAAGCACATGGGGTCTTCGTGTCTGACTGACAGAGATCGTTTAGACTTGGAAATATGGACACCTATCTCTTGAGTAACCTGCTGGTAATATTTACATCCACATTCACACAGAAAGGTGGTGTGTTTTAATTCCGGGCTAAGGTTCAGCCCCGTACACCTCACTGAAGCATCGCTGACAGAAAGGCTGGTCTGGGAACTCCAGCTACACAAATAAATACTGGAGCAGGGCCTAACAGGAAGACCCTCGCTACCCAATTTTTTCCAGATGGCAGTGATGGATGGCTGTATGTTTATGTTTCCTTGGTTTCCCAGGTGACTGGTGTCCTGGTTTCTCCTGGTCACTGCTTGATGAGCTTTTCTTCGAAGATGTGAGCCACCTACCCCAGCAGCCCAGCTCTTGGCCTGCAGGTCTACACCGCACTCAACATCGTCAAGAGGTCATTGTGTTTCTTGGATGGCTAGTTAACTCTTTTCTCACCACTGCTTCCCTGAGCCTCTCCTTGTAAATTTTCAGAACTAGTACAGCAAGATTCAAATCTAAAATCATGTAAAGAACCTTGCGGTAGGCAGAATAATGGTCCTTCAAAGATGTCTACGTCCTAATCCTCAGGAGCTGTGAATGTGTTCTGTTTAATGGCCAAGGGGAATTAAGGTGGCGGATTAAATTAAGGTTGCTAATCACTTGACCTTAAAATGGGGAGACTAGCCTGGATTAACCAGATGGGCTCCATGTAATCAGAGGGCTTCTTAAAAGTGGAACAGAGAGGCAGGAGGAAAGATCAGAACCATGTGCTACAAAGACCGGACTTGTCACTGCTGGAGGAGGGGGGCCACGAACAAAGTGGTGGCTTCTGAGGAACTGGAAAAAGCAAGGAAAGAATTAATCCCTAAAGGCTCCAGAAAAAACTCAGCCCTGCTGACACCTTGATCTTAGCCCAGTGAGACCCTTGTTGAACTTCTAACCTACAGAACTGGAAGATGAAAAGTTCATACTGTTTTAAGCCACTACGCTTATGACAATTTGTTACAGCAGCAATAATAGAAAACTAATACAGACCTAGACAGGGTGAACACTGGCTGGGCCTCCAAATTCCACTTGATATGAGAAGTCCTCCCTCCTTCAGCATGATGTAATCTAACAGAATACATTCTTCCCTGGGCATGCTAGAGGCTGGTGCACACACACTGCTTCCCACAAAGTTTTGGAAAGTGAGGGATGATGGAACACTAATCACCAAGTCCTTTTGATTCCTTGTGAGTAGGGAGAATGAGCATGGGCTTTGGGATCCAGCAGACCTTGGTTCAGGTTCTGGCTCTGCTATTTAATGCCTCTGTGACCTTGAGTGAGACAGCCTCTCTGTTGTTCAGTTTCTTGAGGGGGACGTTACACCCTCACAGGGTTGCTGTAAAGAGTAAATGAAATGGTGTGTAAAGTATCTCAGGTCATAGGGGGAAGGTAGAAATACAATAAATCGTTTCCTCTTCTATCCTCTTTGTAATTGTTTCTCAGATCTCTTCTGTCCTCTCTAATCCTGTGGCCCTGGACTGCATTTACTTTCTTAATATCTCTTACTAGGACTGTTTTGACAGCTCCCAAAGGGCTAATTGCAGACTTCACTCCTTCTCGACAGCCCTCCAGAATTTTTTTCTAGAACACAGATTTTCTAGAACATGACACCTCTCCTGCTGCCAATCAGTAGCTCCCTGTTGCCTATGGATTGAAAAATTTGAAGTCGTTTGAATGGCTTGTGTGCATCCTTCACAATTTCATCTCTGCTCCCTTCTGCATGACAACCCTCTAGCCTAGCTTCTCTCCTTGTCATGCTTTTACTTACTTCTGTCCCTTTGTGGCTTAGTTGTTGTTTTCTATCTCTGGAATGCCAGCCTCCTCTCCTTCACCTAGAGAGCTCCTTTTATCTTTTGAGGTCTGGTTCAAATGTCCCACTTTTGCAGAGAATTTTCTGATTCCTCTAAGAATTTAGCACGGTCTCCGCTGTCTCCATCATACTATGTACACTATGGAACTTATCAGAGCACACCTGCCTTTCCCTCTATCTTTGATGACAGAGACAGTGCATTTTGCACCTTTGTTCTCAGAACTTTGCATATAACATATATTCAATAAAATATATACTCTGTTTTTATGGGTATGGATGAATTAGTGAATGAAAAAATATGTGAACAACCCACATCTTTAAAGCCGTTGCCATAGAATTCAATTTTACCTTTCACATCCCAGGTTAGGTGGCCCCAGGATGGCCTTTCTGTGATGTTACACACACAGTGTCGTCTAAAACAATAAGATTATTGAACAACTTTGCATTTGTTCCTTTTACTTTGGCTCCCCAAAGGATGTTACTCTTAAATTCATAGGAAATACGTTTTTGAGTGCCAATGAAACAGTAAGCCAGTAATTCCAATATAATGGTTGTGGAAAGATATGAAATGTTTTTGTCTACCTGGTCAACTAACTCCCTCTTTTCTGGGAAAGTACCTTCTTTCTCTTAGGAATTGCTTCCCCCGCCCCCCACACCAACTATCACCATGGAACTTGAGTGAGGACTGCCTGTCACACTGGAGAGGTAGGGACAGAACTCAAAGCTATCCAATCAGAACCTTCTCTGCAATTTTAAAAAATTGAAGCTGGAAGGCCTCTTTTCCCCTTCCAAAATGCACTTTAATACAATAAGAATATCATATTATATATTGTTCATTATCTGATTCCCCTGCCATAAGGGAGAGTTTCTGTGTTTGTACAGAAGGTCTTGATGAATATTTGTTAAATGAATAAACAAATGCTGGGAATGTATGAGCTAAGGACTTCCAGGAGCCATGAAACCTGCCATCTCAGAGAAACTGGTAGAGAACACGCAGAAGGAGGCAAAGAAGTAAGACAGGGTCCCAGTAGGTTCAAGTGTCCTAGTTCTGGTCCTTGAGGTTCTTGGAGCTTCTGTGGCTCATACCTTCCATTCATCCCTTTCTTTTGGCTTATGTTAGTTTAACTTGGGGTCCTGTCACTTGCAACTAAGAGAGTCCCAACTGATCTAAAAGTTTTATTGTAATAAACTGAACTGGGACAGCCCAGGAAAGTGACCTGTGGAGCTGACTTGGGGTAGGATATGAATGCATAGCAGTCAAACTCCTGGGTGTCTGAGTAAAGGGACATTTGAGGAAGATTCATGCTGCCCAGGAAGAGAGAAAAAAACTACAGTCAATGAAGATTTACTGGGTGAGATCACATACGTGTTTCCCTTTCCCTGTTAATTCTGTTTACCCCATCCTCTGACACCCTATCAGGGTCCCACCAAAGAAACAGAAGCAGCAGAAGATACATATTAAGAGACTTATTGCAAGGAATTGGCTTCTGCAATTGTGGGACCTGGCTAGGCAAGTCCGAAATCCACGGTGCAGGTCATCAGCAATTTCAACTGATTGAATCAGGCCCACCCAGATTATCTAGGGTGATAGCCCTTACTTAAAGTCGGCTGACTGTAGACTTAAATTACATTTACAAAATATATTCACAGCAATATATATATATATATTATATTCAAAAAGATAATATATATTATCTTTTTCTGAGAACTCCCTGTTTATAAATACACACACACACACTCACACACACACATTTATTTATTTATGTTTATCTTTTTCTGAGAACTCCCTGTTTATAACTTAATTAATTAATTGTCTCTTTGAAGTAAGAAAATTAACAATTCATCTGTCATGTTTGTTTTGAATATTTTTACCAATGTATTATTTGTCCTTGGACTTTGGCTGTGGATTATATATAAATGTTTTAAAGTTCTCAAGTGTAATATACTAGTTTCCTTTATGGCTTCTGGATACAGTGTGTGCTGCATGTCTATTTTCTTGGCAGGAAAAGCAGACCTGGGATTCAAAAGGTAAAATCAGGGGCTTCCCTGGTGGCGCAGTGGTTGAAAATCTGCCTGCTAATGCAGGGGACACGGGTTCGAGCCCTGGTCTGGGAAGATCCCACATGCCGCGGAGCAACTAGGCCCGTGAGCCACAACTACTGAGCCTGCGCGTATGGAGCCTGTGCTCCGCAACAAGAGAGGCCGTGATAGTGAGAGGCCAGCACACTGTGATGAAGAGTGGCCCCCGCTTGCCACAACTAGAGAAAGCCCTCGCACAGAAACGAAGACCCAACACAGCAAAAATTAATTAATTAATTTTTGCTGTGTTGGGT